AATTACATATTAAGTTTGGTTGTAAAGAAGCTCTGTTACCATCTATAAATGCTGGTTGTGGAGACTTCAGAGAATAGGGAGTCCTTCACTATGTCTGCTGTCTTATCTCAGCTCATCTCTCAGATGTCATTTCAGTCAGGAGGAATGAGTGAGGTACAGATGCATTCAGTATAGTAAAGCTAAGGTGTCAAGCCACCATTCAGGCTTATGAAGTACCTACTATGTACAGGGCACTTTCTGCAAGAAAGAGAAACCTCAGTGGAGAAAGCTGACTGAGGGAATTCAGCCATCTGGTAGAAATGGAAGGTGTACAAGTTGCCTAAAATTTACAGTGTATCAGAGACAAGAGAGCCTCCTGTCAATCTCATGGGGAATTGTCATCTGTGAATAACAGAATTCATTCAAAACTAAGATATAAGGTTCCTGCCTTCTTTTCATGGCTGTCAGGACCTCTGTCTATACCCATTCCTTCCTTCAAGTCTCCTGTCCTAGATTCTGCCTAGACATTTTGCCACATGAGGCAATTTCATCCTCTTCCTCACTCAAGTCTCTTTTCTTCTAGGAAAGGCAGCACCCTCCTCCTTCTCCCCAACTTCCCACAAGCAGGTTGTATTTCCATACTAGTTACTTTGCAGTGATTTCCTGAAGCACATCCCAGCCAGCCCCTGTGCCTTCATCTATGCCACTTTCCCTTTCAGCATGCCCACCCCTCCTCCTCCCTGAGGGCCTCCCTCAATTCTCACCTGTCCACGAAGCTCTAGAGTGGCTCTGTCTTGGGACAGATGTTCTCTCGCCTGAGGACTGGTCTGTGGCATTGCTTCATCTGAGTCTATCAGTGAGCCCTGTCTGCTGAGCATGGTAAATGGGAAGTGGTGGCCTGCATCTGGGCTCCAATTAGTTCCTCCTTGAGGGCCCATCACACAACTTCAGACCAGTCAAGAGGAATTCAACTCCTTTTGAGTAATTTTATTTGTCAGTGTCAATTGCTGCCCAACTATAATGTGAATCTCTCTTATAAACAGACTAAGACAGAGCCAGGCACTGGTGTTCACGCCTGTAATCCTAGCCAATCAGGAGGCAGAAATCAGGAGGATCACAGTTCAAAGCCAGCCTGGGCAAATAGTTCCACAAGATTCTATCTCAAAAAACCCTTCACAAAAATAGGGCTGGTGGAGTGGCTCAAGGTGTAGGCCCTGAGTTCAAATAGGGCTGGTGGAGTGGCTCAAGGTGTAGGCCCTGAGTTCAAGCACCAGTACCACAAAATAAATAAATGAATAAATATACTAAAGGGACCAAGAAGGCTTTAACCTTTCTTGTATCTACAGTGCCTGAAACAAACTCTCTACACAGTAGGGCTTTCTAGGTTGTAACCAGTTGGTGATAATGGTGACCTGGGAGTCCCATTAGAGCCTGCATGATTTGTTCTACTGCAAAGTACCACTGTTCCATGCTTGCTCTTAACTGAATGAAGCATGTAGCTATTTCCAAAGTGGGTGGGCTATGATGGGATTTCTTGCCCACTCCATCCCTGTCTTTCATTTGCTCTTCTTTTTCTTTTTGTTTTAAATTTTTATTTATTTATTTAGGTTTTGAGACAGGGTCTTTCTAAGTTGTTATGATATTCCTGCCTCATTCTCCCAAGTGCTGAGATTACAGGTATGAACCACCATGCCTAGCTTCCTTCCCTTTTCATTATTCAGTGCTATTGGAATGCTTTGGTTATTAAACTAAACCTAGTATCTCTTAAGCTCTTGTTTCATAGTGCACTCCTGTGATTTCTTCCTGAATTCCTCCTGGTCTTTGATCTTCTGAGTATCCCAGTATAACATCCTTAAGCCCTCAGTTTTTCATCCAAAATATTTGAACCCATCCTTTCTCAACTTTTTAATCATTTTGATCCTTAGTCTTTGTGCCTTCCCTGATGGAATCCAGTTTTCTGTGGGCTAAAGTAATCTGAGCTAGAAATTCTCAGTAATCCCCATGAAGTCCTTTTGCTTAGATTTTATTCACAAATTGATACTTGCACTTCCTTTGCAGAAATTCATCATTGGCTTGACTTTTCTGCCTGTCTCTAAGCTTTGAAGATGATCTTTTCCCAGACTGCAATTTTTATCTTTGATTTCAGTACCAGTATCTGATCCAGGTTATCTATTAGTGGGGCACTCCCCCAAAAATATCTTTAATATCTGCTGGAACAGATAACCTTTGGTTCAAAGTCCTGCCTGGACTGTATCAGGTCCTGTTAGTCCAATTAAGTATGATAATAATAATCTGAATACAGTTGATTTCTGCAAGGGTAATAAATGAATTACTTTTTTATTGTACTGTCTTTTCTCAACTTCCCTTATACACATTACAAAGCACAAATTTTGCATGCCATTTTGAAGGATCCCTCCTTGCCATATTGGATCAACGTCCAAGATGATACCGTCCCAACTCCTGTATTTTCCTCTTTTAGCCCTTATGATAACTGAAAGCAAATTATTTGTGTAATTCTTCTGTAGATCCACTAGGCTTTTGTTAGATGATAAGCTTCTTTTCCTATGAAGAATCATCCCTTCATAGAAAGGGATAAGAAAATATAAAAGGACATTAAATTAATGTATCAAATTATCTCAAATTTAAGGGACCACCCCCCCATAAAATTCTACTAGAGAGTTGGTAGAAGTACAGTGTTCTGATAAGGAAGTAGGCTGGAAAACCTGTCACTGTCTGACACAATGGGCTGAATATGACCTTTCTCTCTTTTCTCATCTGTAATATGAAAATAATAATATGTCTTTTCTTATAGGATTCCTGTATGGATTAAATGAGCCGAAATATATAAAGTACCTAGAAAGTTGCCTGGTACATAGTAATTACTCATAAACATTAGTGTGGTTGTGTTTCAATGGTTATGACTAGATCAGTGATACTTTTGACTGCTTATCTTCCCTCCTCCCCATTTCATGGCATTCTATAAAATTATAGTGTTCCACAAACAAACAAATAAAAAGTGCTGCCATCTCACTGTGCAAGTACACGGAGGGGAAAGGACACATTCTGTGCCTTGCCCAGGGTTCAATTCCTAAGCAGGTCTCTTTCAAATGTAGACAACAGAGGGCCCACCCTGCCTTTCTTCCCACCCTCAATAAGGTAAGGTCTTACATCAGAGGGCTGCCTCCAGATGGGGAGAAGATGCCAGTTACAAACAGAAAAGTTAGGAGGAGGAGTCGGTACTAGCCAAAGTTGGTAGTTAGTTGGCACTTTCTTTCTAACTTAAGCTCAAAACTCCCTTGGTTCTTCCCTCATAACTTTCTGTCTTGGATGTCCTCACAGGAGAGCCACTCTTGAGTGTCATGGTACCACTGCTGTATTTTCTCCTTTCCGAGTGATAAAGATTGAGAACTATCACAGAAGATCCTGATCTGCTGGGAGTTCATATCCCAGCCTTTGCCTGCCACACTCCACTTCCATGGTCCCAGAAATCTGGGATCTCTTTGTCTGCCCCAACACACACACACACACACACACACACATACACACACACATGCATACGCACACACATGGTTTACATTTTTATACTTTCTGCAGGGAGACAGCAAGCAGTCTAGCCTTCCTAATGCCATTTAGTTGGAGCCAGGCCCTATGGGAATGAGGGTGGGGAGAAGTCTTTTGGAAGAATCTCTACCTACTGGAAAAAGAAACACACAAGAAGTAAGACAAGCCTAGCAGAAAGAGATACTTTCATTGCAGCCTTTACATTTATGACTAGCAAGATAATGAAGGAAGGTAATTCTGAAAGCTTTATGTCAGTTTTAACGGTCCCTCAAGCACTGAGAAAGATAATAGTGAATGGATGGTGTCCATAAGGAGTTTTTCTCCTTCTCCCCTGACAGTCATTGACAAGATCATTTTGTATTTGCAACTGCTCTCACTGAAGCGTGGAGAAAAGGCCCTGTAAGGCCAGAAGGATAAGGGTGACTTCTCTGTGAGGATTTCTATTGTCATTGCTATGGCAATAATAGTCACTGTAATTTTCATTCTGCTTTTCTATGGAGTGTCTACTTTGAGGAGCTTAAGGCTATGGAGTTTAGGGTCACATAAAATCAAACTAGCATAAAATCATGCTTTGTAATCTTGCAAGAGTATTTTATAAAACTGTAAAGCAAACCTATGCAACAAGATGAACATAATTACCAATTCAGGTCACTTGACTAATACAATTATTTATGGGATGCTAATAGCTTTTCAGAGGCTTTCAGATACAGTGTCAATTTGACATCCTTCCTCTCTTCCCCCACCCCCGAATTGCCAGTTTTTCTCCCCAAGGACAAGGCTTATCAATTGGGGAGGGGGAAGAATGTAAATTAATTGCAAATTAGCTCTCAGAAGTCGTCAGGTAGTTCCTTTTTATTATCCACAATTAAATCATACAGACAGGAGCCATGCCTTCTATGTCATTTATGCACACCCTTATCTCGCAGCACGCTCTGCACCGTTAGATTCCAGTGTTCCTAGCCTTCAGACAGCCAGCATTAGGGACATCAAACCCTTCCACAGCACGACTCTGCGGAAAAATCCCTTAGTGAATAAAGCGGGGCGCGAGGTGCACGTGTGATCAAGTGCGGGATGCAAAAAACCTCCAAGAAGGGCCTCGAGGTAGGGAAAAAGACAGCTGGAGCCAAAGAAAAGGGAATGGAGAAAAGAGATGAAAATGAGACAGACAAGCAAGTGGGAACAAAGCAAGCGACTGCACTGACTAAAGAGAGAAAAATCACAGAAGCAGACAAAAAAAAGAGCGGCAACACCGTGCACCTGCAGCGGCGCCGACGGACGGCGAGCACGCGCGGAGGAGCGGGACTACAGCTCCCAATGTCCCTTGCGGCGCCACCTCCCCAGGAGCCAGTTCCTGGGCAACCCCGCTAAACAAGATGGCAGCCCCCGAAAAAGGTCTCCAGAGATGGAGAATGTTTTGTCTCCAGAAAGGGTTGTACATCCCACGTTCTGCAACCCAGCCGATGCAGTGGCGCTCAGATAAAGAGCGTCACTATTGGTCTAGTCCCATGGGGCCGAGGGCAAAAGGCAGCTTCAGCAAAGCCTCCTCCTACCTGCTCCAGCAGCTCATTCACCGCCACCAGGACTGGGACGCGCACGGAGGCGACTTGGAATCCTCAGAGTCCTCAGAGTCCGAAATGCTGAACGTGGAGGTGTGCTTTCCCCTTCCCCCTCACTCCCTGGCTTCCCCGTTCCAGCCGTTGGCCCTGCTGCCCCAACGGGGGCTCGCCGGGCCCTCCTTCCCCCACTGGACTCCCACCCAGGGTGAACCCTCGCCCCGGCGCCCCTTCCTGAGGGCTCCGAGGCCCCCTTTTTGCAGCCAATTTCTGTGCCGCGTTTCTTCACCTCCTGCCTTTAGTATGTCCAAATACCTCCTTTCTGGTTCACTAACTTAACGATACACAGCATCGTTAGGAAAAGTATCTGTGTATTTATATGGGAGTTAGGGCCTTAAGGTCTTCAAAATTACATTTTGATACAATTATTACCTTATAGTCAATAGGCAGAGTTTGTCTTTGGCATCCCCCAGCACCTGTCTTCATTCTCCTTCTTCCAGGGGGAAAATTACTCTCTTGAATAATCTAAGTGTTCCCTCAAAGACCGAATGACTTAAGTTTCATATATGCCTTAGGTAAGCAACGCAGACACACTCCAGAAGGGAGCAACAGAATGTTCAAACTGCAAGTTCACTGCAGGAATATTTCAGGATGTCAGGAGTGTTCCCAACATTCCCACTTGTGCTACTTGGGATGGTGGCTTCACCTTTCACATTAATACGAATTTCCAATTTTCTGCAATACTTCCTCTAACCTCAGTCCACCACCCCAAGTCCACTTCTTTTTCACACTTACTATCTTCCTGTTCCTTTGCAGTCCTGTCCTCTTATTCCCTTTCCATTTCTCATTGCATCACTTCCTTCTTTTAGCTTCTAATACATTGTTTACCTTCTTTCAAAACCATAAGTTGATCTGTTCCTTTTCAATACACAGTTAAGTTTTCCTCTTTGTTGGCTACCAGGAAGCTCAGAATCAATATTTGTCTTAATCTCACAGTTTCCTTTATATTAGGTTTTTCTCTTCCCTTTCCTCTTCCTTAGAAATATAAATTGTTTCAAATTTTTTTCAGAAGTAGATATAACAGGTGGAAATAAAATGTTTTAATATCCCCCTGTTCTGTGTATTCACTGGCCTTACCTCTTGGCATCTTTGTGTCTTTTCCTAGTCACCTTTCTTCCTTGAAGCCAAACATGATATGCTGTTTGCTATGTCTGTTTCTTTCACAAGCTCCTTTTCTGGCTGCCTTATTCCCCTCTTTCTAACTTGCAACATCTTTTGTTACTCTGCTTCTACTATTAACTACTTCCACTCTCCTATACTTGGGTTCCTCTTCTTTTCTAATGTTTTTTGTTCACTTCCAACATTTAGCCCACTTTTGTTCCCACCCTCATCCTTCATTTTTTCATTCCTTGTCTACACTCTAATTTTGCTTAAAGTTGGCCATAGAAAGTTACTACTTATTTTGTTCATCATTTGTTGAGTTACTTTACTGTTTTTAACAGTGACTATCACAAAACTGTAGCAGTGTTTTTGCAACTCTGAAATGTTTATATGGTTTCCACCAGATTCCACCCAGAGGAATTCACAAATGAACCACCAGTATATGTTATTATTCTAATTAACACATGCTCTTTGGCTACGGAGTTCATTAGTATCATTGTTAATCTGTCTTCAGTAAGCCATTAGCAAACCATAGAAGGGTTGGCTTGAATTAGAGATTCCTTTCTGGCTGGTAGGATGTGTGTAGAAAAAGTTCATTATTTCTTCCATTCACATTCAAAATATTAATATTATTTAAACAATATTTTAGCTTTTCATAGTATTAAGTTTTAATATGCTGAATAAACTGAGAAGTTTAAAAAAATTTGGACATTCATGTTTAGTGATTTATTTTCCATGTCTTAGCCTGGTTAAGAGTTTGATGGTCATAATGATTACTGAGTGCCTACAGTGCAGTTAGCCTCAAACTTCAGAAGCCTTAATGAATTTGAGGGAGTTAGTATAGACCAATTGTTAAAAGCGCTGTCTTTGGAATGAAAGATTTGTAGTTGAGACTTGGTTCTGCCTGTTAATTGTGAGATCTCGAACAGTTTACTTGACTGACGTGTCTACGATGCATCCATAATGTGGAGAATTGTGAGAATTAAATGAGATCCTCTGTGTAAAATGCTTAGTGTAATATATTGCTATAAAGTTACTAAAACAAATAGTAACTTACATGTTTTATCTGCTAACTGCAGCTCATTAAGCAATTTTGATTAGACTTCATTGAACAAATTTATGGAATGATTGCTGTATAGGAAGCACTCTTTGACTCTGTCTGATCCCCAAATCTGATTCATGAATATCATTCTGTGCCAGCAACTTAATGTGCTACTGATGGGATAGTTATGAACATCAAATTTAATGAGAGATTGTACTAAAGTTCTTAATATAGTGTCTAGTAAAGAGGAGGCTCTCAAAAATTTATAGATATAATAAATAATAGCAACACTGATGATAGGAGAAGATGAGAACAAGATTGAGGATATACACAGTTCCTGCTGTCAAAGAATGTGAGTAAATCATAGCAATTCGGCACTTGTAGTGATATATACAGAGATGCATATGGATGACCCCTTGATTGCGAGGATCATGGGAAGTAGGCTCTTGTCTAGGTGGGGAATGGTGTGTGGGCAGGCAGATGGCAACCTTTCCTGCTCAGGAGTTACAGGTGAGAGCAGAAAAGGCAGTCGAGGTAGGAGCCAGACTGTGCTGGGCAGGAGCATGGACTTCAGGTGCTGCTCTGATGGCCAGGAAGAGTCAGATGGAGGAAAATAAGACTGTGAAAAGGTTCTATCAATTTCTAAAGGAGGGGAGTAAAAAGAATCTGATTGAAGACAGTGACAGTGGGAATGGAAAAGAAGCTAAAGATAAACATTTAAAAACATTTAGAATGGAACAGTTGCTAATTGAATATTAATCTAGGATGACAGGCCTATGCCATGGACAGGGGAAGGAGAGTCTTACGTTATTATCTCTGATAGGAACCACGGACAGATGTTGCTGTGCGTTAAGGAATTGGCTATAGAAACCATTTGCCTGGAAATAAGGAAAGGGGTCTCAGCGTGGGAAACCTAGACATCATTAGCATTGGAGCCTATGAAGTCAGCCAGGAAGAACAGGGAAGGGGGAAGACCAAGAACAGAGCCATAAGGGTACAGGTATTTCAGTGGCAGCAGATGAAGAAGAATCAGGGAAGGAAACTGGGAAGAACTGGTCAGAAAAGTAAGAGAAGAAAGAAGAGCTGTCTGGTGGGGAGGCAGGGCAAGAAAGAGTCTCAAGAACATGGAAATGTGTTCTGCTGCCAATTGGTTAAGTGGGAAGAAGCCTGAAAAGTTCTCATTCACTTTGCTTATTTGAAGACGACAATACTGCCAAATGACAGGAACTTCAAGGGAGGCAGGAGGGGCTTGCTGTATGGAGTCTTGCCTTGGGGATCTGGGAAAATGCTGACAGTGTGGCCTGACTCCCTGTCAGTAGCTATGTTAGAAATCAGGCATGCCCACTATAAGTAAGGATGGAATGTCTTCTTATTTCTAGGAAATGGGGTTGGGTGGCATAAGTGAACTTCAGATGTATAGATGGAAAATTTGGAAGGGAAGGGAATGCTCTTCCACCTCCATTCCTAACTTTAGAAAAGTAAAGATATTTCCTATTCTATGAACAGGCTGATTGTGTGAATGAGTGAAACAGTCAGATGTGGAATTTCTAATATCATCAGAGCACAGTAACTCTCACTTATTGGAAGCACTTTGGTGTTGTGCTAAGAGCTTTATAGACATTATTTTTTATTCTTTCTAAAACACTAAAAGACAATATAGGGAGGGAAGATTCTACCTATACAGCTTTAATAGCAGGGTCTGTCAAATAAACTGAAAGCAGGCAATTAACATGGAAAGAAGTATACATATTTATTAATTTTTACTATTATACGCATGCGGCATTGCAGGAAAAAAGTTACATGTGTGAATACTCGCCCTGTCCCCATGAAACAGTGAGATTAGAGAGCTTTACCATGTTAACAGGGAAAGGGGGAAGGGATGTAGGCTACTTAGGGGAAAGTAGCGTCTTAGAAAGATGATAGTTTGTGGCAAAGTTTGTCTGAGTGTAGAGTCAACCACTCTTCTCTACTATGATAAGGGTCAACCTGGCTGGTTGATGAAACTCCCAGGGAGGGGATTTATGACAATTCATTTCCTTTTGGAGGATCTGTCTTTCAGTAGATAAAAGGAGTTCAGAGAAAGCCTTTCCTTACATTTGCTGTTTTTCAAGTGTCTTCAGTTCAAAGCAATCAGTACACCAAAGCAGCATATTTTAGAATGGTGTGTCTAGAACTCCTTCAAAGAAAATAACATTTCCTAGTTATAGATGAAGATATGAGGCTCAGAGAAAAATTTACCTCCCCAAAGTCACAGATCCAAAACGGCAGAGCTGAGGTTCAAACCAAGTCTGCCCAAAGTTTTTGTGCTAGCCCCATGCTGACAATGTTCCCTGTGCTAGTGGAAATTGTCTAGGGAAAGAAATTGTTAGAGTAGCACCAGCCTACTTACTTATATCCTCAGTACCAATGGCCTGAGCTGCAATACTGGTGTTGGATTGATACAGAAGTCCTGGAAAGAGAATATTTTGCCATTATGACTCATATGCTTATCAGTGGTGACTGATATGATTACTGTACTTGCTACCATCATGCTGATGTCAGTGTTAATGTGCTGGTCATTGTGGAGTTGAAAGAGTACAAACTGACTGTCTTCTGTCTGTTATTATTAGGGAAAGGGCATGTCAGGCTACTGTTGGTTCATGGGATATCTATAGACCAAGAAGAACCAACCTCCTTATGGAAATGATTATCATTCTTTTAATAAGTCTTGTAAATTATAGGAATCTAGCAAAATTAGCCAGTAGGAATTAAACTGAGGGCCTGTTTTCTCCAACAAGAATACCAGTTTTAGAGAAATAATTGCCTTTATTTGATGTAGCCTTCCTTTGGACATGGGTAAGTAGTTGAATGTGGAATTGCCCTGAGGTCAGACACATGTGGGTTTTCATTCATGCTTTACACTCTATCACATATTGTCTATGTAGTTTTAAGCAGGGTAACCTCTAAGCCTTAGTTTCTTCATCTGTAAAATGGAGATAAGAATACCTACCTCAGGGCTGTCAGAAGGATTAATGAGTTGATTCATTGAGAGCTTGTACACGGTGCCTGGAATGGAGAAGCATTCAATCAGTGGTAGCAGTTGCAAGTAATACTGATGTTTCTGTAACCACTGTGTTCACCCAGTTTCGAATACCTAATACAAGTGGCCACCTGAAAAATCAGTGGCAATAAAAACATTAACTTCCTAATGGGAGTCCTTTCTTTGTTCACTTCTCTGTTTTGTTTTGTTTTGCAGGAGGAATTTGATGGAGTCCTGAGAGAAGAGGCTGTGGCTGAGGCACTCCATAAATTGGGGCGCTCAGGCCCTGGGACTGAGCAAGTCTACCTCAACCTAAATTTATCAGTGAGTATTACTTGTTCACCATTGGCCGGCTATATCTTGAATTGGCCAGACTGTGTCTGTTTCCTTTGGTACTCATTACTTTTGTAGTGGCAGCAAACCTCAGGGCCTTGCATTTGATGGAGACTAGTGACTAGAGAGCTTTATATAAATATTAGACTTCAGAGAGCACTGGCTAATACAGTAATCAGCCCCCAAATTCCTGTTTCCATTCTGTTCACACTCTATTTCCTTCATCTGTAGTCTATATTATAGTAATCAATGCTTTGCTTCCAGGAGGTTGAATTTGATTCTGTAAAACCAGTCAAAAACCTTTAAGAATTTTCTCTCTGATCAGTGAAAGAAGCACTAAAATTTATATCTGAATCCAAGGGAACTGAGTATTTTGGTACTGACTTTCCCCTTGAAGTATGTGAAGAAGTAAGTAGCTTTGAGCTGTATTTTACTTTCCAAAAATTAGCTGTCACTGAAGAAAAAATAAATCTATTGTTATTTATCAATTTTCAAGATTTCAATCTTAGTCATAGAGTAGCACAAAATCTTGGTTCCAATTTTATCATAAAAGAGGCTTAAGAGCAGACTGCTCAGAGTCACCTTCTTTTGCTTCCCAGTAGTTCTAGAAAAGTAACTGAACTCTTTTTGCTTCCTTAGATTGTAAAGCATTAAATATTCCTTCTAGATCCCCAGAGTAAATGTAGTTACATAAGTGAAAAAGCACACTGAAATTTTACTATAACACCATGACTTGCCTCATTCGTGACTTGGCTAGCTCATTGCAAGAATGTCTGTCTTGGAATGGATTAAGAAAATGTGGTATCTATACACAATGGAATTTTATGCAGCCATGAAGAAGAACGAAATGTTATCATTCGCTGGTAAATGGATGGAATTGGAGAACATCATTCTGAGTGAGGTTAGCCTGGCTCAAAAGACCAAAAATCGTATGTTCTCCCTCATATGTGGACATTAGATCAAGGGCAAACACAACAAGGGGATTGGACTATGAGCACATGATAAAAGCGAGAGCACACAAGGGAGGGGTGAGGATAGGTAAGACACCTAAAAAACTAGCTAGCATTTGTTGCCCTTAATGCAGAGAAACTAAAGCAGATACCTTAAAGCAACTGAGGCCAATAGGAAAAGGGGACCAGGAACTAGAGAAAAGGTTAGATTAAAAAGAATTAACCTAGAAGGTAACACCCACGCACAGGAAATCAATGTGAGTCAATGCCCTGTATAGCTATCCTTATCTCAACCAGCAAAACCCCTTGTTCCTTCCTATTATTGCTTATACTCTCTCTTACAACAAAATTAGAGATAAGGGCAAAATAGTTTCTGCTGGGTATTGAGGGGAGGGGAGGGGGGAGTGGGTGGTAAGGGAGGGGGTGGGGGCAGGGGGGAGAAAACAAACAAGCCTTGTATGCACATATGAATAATAAAAGAAAAATGAAAAAAAAAAAAAAAAAAAGAATGTCTGACTTGGATTTGAATTAGTGAACTATTCAAGGAATGTTAAACTGTTTTCACCTGTGCTTCATGGCATGTTTTTCAAGGTCAGCACAAAAGGCTATACTCTTTTGTTCTTGTCATTTTATAACATTTTATGGATGTCTCAACCAGTCAGGCAGTAACATGCAGGGAGCACCCTGTGCATATTGCACTGTGTTAGACATTGGAATGGTACAATTCCAGAAGCTAACACATCCCCACACAAGTCCCTTTCAATCAATATTCTCCTTATGTATGTAGTACTGTGCCTTAAATTGATCTACCAAAAAAAAATGTAAATCTTTAAATCTTATTTCAGCCAGAGGGATTGGATTTTAGCTTATTTTGCCACTGACCTTCTTACATTTGTGATATTACATGTTGAATGACTTGGCCTTAATAACCAATCTTACTGAATACACTTTCTGGTTCAGTGGCTTTTTTTCCTCTGTTATCTTACTTATGTTACAAGTTGTATTTTACTTTCTCTTATTATTTTTGTACATATCTTCTTTCTAACCAAAGTCATAAATTTCTTAAGGGCATGATATAGCTCCATTTCATCACCCCAAGCACAATGCTGTTTTGTACATAGTAGATATTCAGTATTTGTTTATTGTTATTCATCATTGCTGAAATCATTGAATAATCATCAGTACGTTATATGAGAACTTACTTATAATGACTCTTCACTCATTGGCTTTTTTCTAATTCACAACACAGCTTCAGTAGTGCAAGTCTTTGTTCAGAGGATCAAATTCCTTCCTAACTCCCTTCTCTCAAAGCAAAATTTTCTGGAATGATTTTTGGATGAGGATTCAGGTGGTCAGTGACTTCAGGCTGTTTTCATAACTCTCTGTAATTCCGTGTTCTTCATCTCTGAGTTGAGGATAATCTGCCCTACAGATCTCATAGTTGTGTTTGATCTGCTAAGATTATCGTGAAAGAGCTCTGAAAATCAGCCATGTGCAAGTGTAGGTAGCATTGTTACTAATGATCTCCTGATTAAGTGTGAATGCTCTAAAACTTCATTTAAATTCTAGACATTTTCTTTTTCTTCTAGTAGATAAAAGCTTTGTCTTTATTGCTATTATGTATTTTTTATATAAAACCCTGCTCTAAAGGTCTTCACAAACACTGCTTTAATTTGCCTTTTCATGTTTTATGTGTTCTTGCTAACAACACTAATTTCCTAAGCTATCATTTTCTTCAAAGGAATGCATTTTTAATTTTGATGGGGTCTGTAGTCTGTTTTGAGATCCTGTTAGCGTAGGCTTCAGTTTTTGTTCTCTTCTTTTATACTCTTGAAAGAAATTCTGCATTTCTTTCCATCAACTGTTATTTCCAGATGTTGCAAGAAGGTTTAGTACTAACCTGTTAAAGTGTTATTCATCTTTTATTTTCTTAGGGTTGTGATCTAATCGACATTAGCATTCTGTGTACATATGTTCACCTACAGAAGTTGGATCTTTCAGTGAATAAAATTGAAGGTATGTAATTAGTATTCTGGTAGATTGATCACTGAATTATTTCCAAATTTAAGTGTTTCATTATGTAACATAATTTAACAATACCAAACTTGATATAAGTGATTTGTAGATCAGTTTACATACTGATCCTTTACTTTCCATACCAAAAAAACCCCCAAACAAACGGGGTAGTGGGTGGGGGAAACCAATGAATTGAGTGAAGAAAAAAGTCCAAGCCTGCAATATTATGATGTGGTTGAGATTCACTCAATGAAATTGAAAAGTACTATATGGAATGTTTGCTTTTTTTTTGTTTAAGAAATTGATCAGTAGCTCTTCATTACTTCCTAAACATTTGATGATTCATTCATGAAGATGAATTAGGGGCTGGTGGAGTGGCTCAAGTGGTAAAGCATTGCCTAGCAAGTGTGAGGCCCTGAGTTCAAAACCCCAGTACTGCCAAAAAAAAAAGTATCTTATGAAGATAAATTAGTCTTTTTTTCCTCTAATGGATCCTTTATTTTACTTTTACATTTACATTCCAGTTCTATTTCTGTTATTATTTGAGCACCAGGAATCATAAATACATTTTTTTACTATTTCTGTGTATTTATTAGTTCTATATATTTGTTATGATTCCTCATTCACATTTAATGAAATTAGTCCTACAATCCTCACATTTTCTTCAAAACTCGATTCTTATTTCTGATTTTCTGATCTTATTTGATGTTAATATGCATATTAGACTTCTAGAGAAGTGAGCAAATCATTATTTTGACCTGCTTTCTCCACTGACTATCTTTCTACTCACTTTTTTTACCTTCCTTTTTAAAAATGACAAATGTTGCTGATATGGTGTCTCTGTTTCCTTTTCTGATCCCCTCCATATAACTCTAATAATTAAAATTCACTCCTTTCAATGGTTAAGAAGCATTCTAACCTGTTTTAATTCTTAACATGCTACTGTTTTTTAAAGACTTTAATTTTTTTTCTAGTTTTATACACTGTTTTAGAAAATGAGAAACAAGTACATAAATTCAGTGAATATTGAGGCTAAAAGCAAATTGTGCATGGACAATATTGTTTCATCTATACTGCCCTGTTTTCCTCCCCCAGGGTTATTTTAAAGAAAATCTCAGATTATGATGTTCATAGCATCAGAAAGAATTTTCTTGAGTTACTGACAAGAGCACTGTGTCCATTCTCCACCTCCAGGGTTTATTTTGTTTACTGGATAAGAAATTGCAGCATAGTGACAGACTTTGACAATGCTTAGTACTAACAAGGAAAGAGACTTGGCTTCCCATCCATGCCACTTGAGCAACAAGCCCACAATCTGTGGTTGAAACTTCCCTCTTCTGGATCCCTCTTCATTAGTCCTATGTGATCAGTTTTATTAATCATCAGGTGTTTGAGAGCCTACTATATGTTGGGCACAGTATATTTTTTTTTGTTCTGGCAGCCTTGTTGATGTTCTGATGTAGACCAAATTTAACTTGCATCAGAATCACTTAGGGAGTCTGTTAAAACACAGATTACTGGACCCCACCCTCAGAGTTTGTAATTCAGTAGATCTGGAGTGGGGTCTAAGAATTTTCATTTGGAATAAGTTTCTGGGTGGGGCTGGATCCGCTGGTTCAGGACCACACTCTGAAAACCTCTGATGTAGACACGAGGTGCTCCTGCCATCTGGTGGACAAAAAGGTCACTGCACCGAGTTTGGACTTTTCAGAGAAGTCTAGCAACCCAGACCAGGGATTATTTCTGTCGTGATTTTAAAATGTCGGCTGTCTACAAAGTATGACATATACTCACCATCTCGGTACTAGTACTAGCTAAGTACCAGTTGCTTCTTCTGCTTTAAGACAGATATCCACGGTACTTGCATTGCCTGCTCACAAAAAGGTGGGCTCCAACAGAGGTCCTGGGGCCCAATGGAAGTTGATAGAGTTGAGACTACTTCTGACAAACAGCAGCTGAGCTCAAAGTGGAGAGACAGACATAAACCATATGGCCTTTCTTTTCTTCTTAGGTTTTTTTCTCTCACAGGGAGTCTACTTTGATTGGCTTTGTTAATTTCTGCCAAAATTGTATTGTCTGTCTTAGAACTATGTACATTTAGGATATGGTTTTGTTCAGAGAAATAAAATAGAAATCACTCAGGATTTTCTGGCATCAGGGGCCTTGAGAAAGAAAGATGCCAGGAGGCCCTCTCACACTGCCTTCCTCACCTACGCCATGCCAGGGTCCTGCTGCCCATGGAGTGCATGCCCTGGAGTGTCTTGTCTGTATGTGTCTGTGCTGCCTAGAGAAAGGTAGAAGCATTTTGCTTGGCTTCAGGTGTAGAAGCTCCATTATCCCATTAGGACCCATCCTCTGAGGGGTTGTAATAGCTCCTGCTATGCTTTGGAATGAGAGATAAAGGAAGACACTATTGTGGTTATTATTATCAGGTGGAGAAATGAATTATTGGTAGTGACAAGGCTGTAACCCTTATTGTATAATTCTTCCTGATCTCTTCTTTTCCTCATTCATTCTGCTACCCCAAAGTGCATCAGCTATAAAGTTACAGAGAAAGGCAAAACAGTGTTTTGCAAGTTCTATGTTTTATATGTAATTCTATTCTGAGGCTCTATGAGCACATAGTTTTTTACTTATTCAAATTTCAGGGTATTTGCTTATGGTAAAATGCAAAATTCAAATGTAATTTTGAACCAATCCAGAGTCAAAGTACTATAATAGCAATGATCTAAATCACTTCAAATAATTAATGAGATTTAGGATTAAATCTCACTAAAGCAAAATTAAATTTACAACAAAGAGAGTTCCCTAATTGTGGCATTTCCAATCTTCTAAAAAGACCTAATTCAGTCATTTAGAGGCTAATTATCAGGAGGATTATCTAAGGCTTTAGTTTCTCATCCTTTACTCTGAAGCTCGCAATTTTTGAAGCCTTTAGGCATTAGTAGATCGTGGGAGAATGAGTGGGAACAAGCAAGAGGCCTTAGCCATTGGTTACTTGCTGTCCTGGAAATAGGTGGGCACACCCTGCGGAAGAAAGTCATATTATTGGCTCAGAGAGTTTTCTACGCTGTGTTTTCCTTAATTTCACACATTCCTGGTTTTATTAATTTGACTCATCTGGAATATTTAAGATATACTTGCAACTGGCATAATTTAAAAATATTGTGATGTAGTGTACCCTGCTTTTAATGACTTTTTCTAATTGTTTAATTGACTTACCTGTTTTATATCTATGTTCTTCCCTCCAGATTTGTCTTGTGTGAGTAGCATGCCTTATCTTCTAGAACTTAATGCTTCTCAAAATAAATTGACTACATTTTTTGATTTCAAGCCACCCAAAAATCTCAAGGTACACCTTATCACTATACTAATTATATATGTTAAATGGTTTTCAAAGTACAATAAATAAGCAAGATAGCACATTAGAATTCAGAGAAAATAAGACATGGGGTAAATGGTGTAAGTGTTTGAATTGAAATAAAAAGGAAGTGTTTATCATTTATTTTGGAAAAAGGAGATGGTCTATCAAATAGTCTTTTTAGGAAGCTTTGCTGAAACCTAGTGTTCAAAGAAGTAATGTCTTTCTGTTCTCTTCTTCATATTCAAATAGAAATCACTACTGCATTTCTTTTGTTATAGCAGAACAATTTTATCTGAAAGATTAAACTTTGTCCTCTGTTTTATCCAGTCTTTACTCTTTAAGAAAATGGTACATTCAGATCTGTTTTTTCTTCTCTGCACTTGCTTTTGTAATTCAGAAGCAGAAATGTGAACAGTGGTTTGGAGGAACAGTTAGCTGTAGGGTGGTATGTCACCTACTTCCATGTATATACCGATCACCTGTGGTTCTTGAGAAAATGAGATTCTGATCTGGCAGTTTGGAAGGGAGCTTCAGACTATGACTTCTAGTCTAGCTAGATGTTGTGGTTGCTAATGCTTGGATCATATTTAGTAGAGAGGTCATGGAGTGGTGATTCCCAAATTTTCTGTACATTGGAATCAACTAGGGGAATTATAAGAACTTCTGAGGTCTGGATCCCACTGCCAGACTCTAGTTTAAGTGGTTCAAGGTAAGGCCTTGGCTTTGGACTTGTAAATGTCCTCCAGGGTGACTCTAATGTGCTAACAAATTTGAGAACCATTGCCACAGAGTTTATGATTCCTTTCCTTCTGTTGGATTCAAATATTTAATTAAACAGTTATTTTAAGAAATGAACATCTGCCATTACCTTTTATTATCTTTTTATTTTTTTTACAAACCCAGTTAACTTAAATCCAAATTATTCTACTGAGGCTTGCACAAATATGAAAATCTATTTGAAACCAAGAATTTGATGTTCTTCACATTGACATTGAAACACTTTAATTTTTTCTATTGTTTCGCATCATTCCATTTTTATCAGTCCTGTGTTTTTCTCTTTTTATGTTTTAGTTATTCCTAGGGTGATTATCCCTTTGTCCAAATAAGCCACATTAAGTGCCTATTTGTACTTAGCGAGGGACTGTAAAGTCTCAAGGTTATCAAGACTCGTATTTGCAGAGCAGTTTAGATTTTCCTCTGCTGCCCTGTTCATCTTGCTCTGAGCCCCAGGGCAATTAGTCATGGTAACAGCATGACTCCTGGAAAAATCTTCCATGGAGTTTCTTAGAATCATCCCTACCTTGTGACCTTCCTCAAAGACCCCACAAACCAACAAACACAAATCATATACCCCTTCTTTAAGGTTTCAACTTGTTGAAAAAATAAGAGCAAATATATTGTTAACTTTAGAGTAAGTGCTTGCAAAGTGCCAGACTGCCCTAATGAGGTGTTTCAATCCTGTGAGAACTCTGTAGGGAATGCTTGATTGAGGCCTTCTGGTGTTTTCATTGCATCATCTTATTTAATCCTCCCAAGAAAGCTGTGAGCCAGCTGGTACTGTCCCATTGTACAGATGGGATACTGAAGCATAGAAAGGTTAAATATTTTACTTATACTTTGGCAGGGAGGTAGAAGAACTAAGATTAAACTAATGTCTGAGACCCTAAACCCCATACCTTTCCTACAAATCAGGCTTGAGAAAAACTATTTCCCTGCTTCATGAGAAGATCAACTTGTTTTGTATTTGAGATCTGGGAGACTTATACCACCAACCAGAAAGAGCACTCATTTCCTTTATAAAGTGCTAGGATTTGTACTTATACCTTTTGTGTTTCTTAAAATACTTGTGACCTCAGTAGGTGAAAAATATTAATTTGATTTGATGGGTTCTTCCTATAAGCTCTGAGTTCTAATGGGAGTCAGAGCAATGTCATAACCCTTTAAAATTTCTCAACAAACAAACACCACAGGTACAGTACTGGCAAATAACTCTCACAGAGGTGTAGTTACATAGATATCATGCTATAGTACTAGAATGAAAGGCATTGATGAAAAAGTATCAATTACAAGTAAAGCCCAGATATGGTAAGTTTATTTTTAGTCTATCATTACTAAATAGAAGAAAGAAAATGTAAGTGTCAAACTCCATGTACATCATGTCTAGCTGACTTATTTTGTAGTATGTATCTTATATACCTGCCATTTGTACACAGATTTCTGTTCAGAGTTTTTTACTTGACACCATTTTATTTGCACATTTCTGTTTCTTCATATGGTTTATCAACTTGTGTTTTACTGGTTCTGTAGCCCCATTGTTATATTTGTAATTGACTTGACTCTTGCCATTTGAGTTGTTTCTAGCTTTTTAGGTATTTAGTATATAAAACTATTAGTTTAGTAAATTTGAGGGAGTGAAATCACCATTTTAAAGTGCATGAGAAGGTAAGAATAGTGTTTATTATATAACTGCTTGATAGCTTTGCAGACTATGATTGCAACATTCTCTGTAAGTCATCAATGCATTGTTTCAAACATCTTGGGTTTTTTTTCCTTTTTTTTAAAATAAATTTTATCTTTTGCCAGTAAATGAATTGAAATTATTAAATAATGTTTCCATTTTTTCTCACATTTTTGACTAGGAACAACAGATGTTTCTGAAAATGCTTCCTAAAAGAGTCAATTTTGAGAAAGGATATAAAGTTGAAAAGGTGTGGCCAGAGACTATTCTGGCAGTTAGGGGTGACAGGGGAGACTATATTGAGATAGGAACAGAAAAGGTGAAGAAAAGGGAAATAAGATACGTGAATAAATGAAGTGAGGAAGACCAAGAAAGTTTCAAATAAATACTGAAAAGGAGAGAGTAGCTGTAGGTAGTGAAAGCACTTAGGTTTTGGGGATAGCCCTGTGTGCCTAGAGTAAGGGCTGTGCTCCTTAGCATCCCTCAATGTGGATGGACCAGGCTTCTGGTTAGAAAATGATTGGAGATAGATGCATGTTTTAGCCTTAGTGTACTTTTAGTAACAAATTCTAACTCCACATCCAGAAGTATCTTCTTTTTTGTGCAAGCAATTACTGTGGTGAATCCAAATGAAAAATAATGGATAATATATTGTTCTCTTTTTTTCACCAGAAGGTGGATTTTTCCTTCAACCAAATTTCTGAAATGTGTGATCTGTCGGCATACAATACTCTCACTAAACTAATTTTGGACAGTATCCTTTGAATAAGTTAAGGGGAAGATTTGATTAATAGCATTATTTAAGAATATGTACCAGATAAGCAATTTACTAGAAATGTGTGACTCATTTAAATGATTAAGAATTCAGAGTTGCAGGCCAGGTATTGTGTATGCATGTCTGCCATCCCAGCACTTAGAGGGCTAAGGCAGGAGGAGCTCTAGTTTGAGGCCAGCATGGGCTACATAGTGAAACCCTGTCTCAAAAAAACAAAATAAAACAAATAACAAAAACTTGGTAGTCACAAAAAGAGGAAAGAAGATAGCTTATTTACCAAAAGCTGCAGCCAAAGCTTGCCAAGAGCATCTTACCTCCTGAAAGCCAAGCCAGATAGTCCTTCTTCCAGTAGATGTAAACTTATTCTTTTTTTAAAATAAATTTTTTATTAGGATATATTCACTATTGGGGGAGGGGGTTCAATAGTGACAATTCCAATAGTTGTAAACTCATTCTTAATTCTAGAACCAGAAGAGTTATTCTGTTTAATGAACACATTTCTTCAAATTTACTTAAACTTGTACCCCATTTATATATAGTTAGTATTTGAAAATCATGAAGAAAATTAATATTTATTTTATAGAATTCATACCGTTTCATTTAATAAAGCAAACTGTTCTTATTTATTTATTGGTATGGGGGGGTCAAACGTAGGGTCTTGCATATGCTAGCTAGCAAGTGCTTTATCACTGAGCCACACCTCCAGCCCCTTTAGTATTTAAAATATGCTTTCACTAAAGACAAAAACAACTTTTGTTTACAGCCAACTTAAGGAATATATCTCTTACTGATTCAGGCTTCCATTAAAGTTGTAACCAACGTCTGGGGCCTAACGGGTTAATTGAAGATCTGTGAGTTTAATGAGGTTGAGTCTCCTCTTTACACTAGAGACTGATGCTCTCTGGGTAATAAGGGAGCAGTGTCTTCTCTTTCTCAGTAAGTATCTTTCTATCCACCTGAGAATTTTTCGGGGCAGAGTAGAGCATGAATTGATTGCCCCTGAGTGCCTTATTCCAGGAATGTGGCAGCAGCTTGTTTGTAATAAGGATGAGATTACAGAAGGCACATTTTTTTGAAGACAAATTTCATAGATAAACCCTTTATTCTTTAAAAGGAATGCGAGAACATGGCATCACTCCCTTTAGAAATTGTGTGTGAAAATGAGCAATTAGTGGACTTAGGTGGATTCCTGACATGAACAAGTTGTCTTGATTATAGCCTGATAGAGAAATCTGACAATAATCTAAATGAAACATTCCAGTGACAGACCAGAATTCCACATATTACAGCATCTTTTCTTGGAACCTCCACTTCATGCTCGACTATCATTGTTTTGAATTTGCAGACAGATTCTGACTGCTCAGAAGCCATCTGGCTCAGAAATCCCCTCTTCTCAGGTCATATGAAAGAGTGCTGACCAAGAACAGCAGCGTTAGCATAGCCTGAAACTTCTTAGAAATGTAGATTCTTGGGTTCTACTCCGACCTCAACAACCTCAACCTGCATTTTAGCAAGGTGCACAGATGATTGAGTGTAAGGTTAAGCCTAAGAAGCACTGGCTTAGAAGTCGGTTGTTCCTAAACTCCTGCCTGCCAGAGGGACTCAGCATTCCGAGCCCCCTCCTGTTGTTCAGGATACCCAGAAATTGCAGCAGCATGGAGTTTGGCATGAAGAGCCCTGACTCCAAAAAAATATTCTGTATGCTGCCTGGAATTGACAAAAGGAAAAACTCCTCAGTATTCTGAACTCAAAATGGGAGACACTATTAAGAAATACTTCTTTCATGAGAGTTTGCATTTCTTTATAAATTTAGCTTTTCATGTAAAAAATTAAGTATCATAATTTTGTAAATGTCAAACATCATGAAGAAAGGAATTAGATTTTTAAAAAAGCTGACATTAGATGTAGCAATTGAATCTTATCACTGAAGTACAAAGAGCTATAATTATTACATCAGAGCTAATTGAAATTCAGAGCATGAGCATATAAGTAGAGTGAAACTCACCTGTGTTTAAAAAAAAATGCAAAGACAAGTAGCCAAAGCAAACTACTCTTTGTAGGCTATTAATGAAGTAAGCATGGCTATCTCAGTTTTGAGAAGATAGTAGGCTGGTTTCTAAAGGGTACTAAATATGCCTCCTTTCTCTTTTGTTTTCTTCAAGCATATCAAATTGTGCATGATGCAGATAATGTAGTTTTATAAGTTTTTCTGGACATCTGTGATTTAAGAATACATCTGATAAGATTATAAATGAATTCCTTTGGAGAAAAAAGAAGCACTATATTATATTTTATTATTATTATTATTATTTTGGTTAGGTTCAGTATGTTTTGATTTTTTTTTTTTCTCATGGTATTAGAGTTTCAACTCAGGGTTCTGTGCTTGCTAGGTAAGCTCTCACTTGAATCATACCTCCAGCCCTAGATTATTTTTTTGAAAAGACTGAAATACTTGGATAAAATTATTTTAAAAGATAAGAAGGTTTTAAAACCTTTTGTGCATTTACAAACATAGATGAAATAGACAAAGTTCTAGAAAAATATTGCATACCAAAACACTGATTTGGAAATAAAAATCCTGAGTAATCCTGTAACTATAAAAATAACTCATTACAAATTAAAATGAACTAATTAATAAATTAAGAATCTTTCCACAAAATCCCCCCCAGATCCAAACTTTTAAGAACAAATCTTTTAATATGGACAAATTCTTTCAAACAAAAATAGGAGGCATATTCACGAGTTTATGTTGATAACAAAACCTTATATATAAGAGAAAGGAAAATGATAGGCTTATTTGATTCGTGATATAAATGTAAAAACCCTGGGTAAAATAGTAGCTACTGAATCTGACAATGTATTCAAATGATAAATACTATAACCAAGTAGGGTTTATCTCAGGAACGTAAGGGTAATTTGATATTAGAAAATGTAGAAATGTCATTAACCACGTTAACAGATTTAGGAAAGAAAACTTTGTGATTCTTACACACAGAAACTCAATAGATGTATAAAATTTAATGCAATCCAGCAATCTTTCACAATAAAACTGTCAGAAAACTAGTAATAGTGAATTTTTTCTGCTTAATAGAGAATGTCTAGAAAAATATTTGAAAGTAACTTTATCAGGTTATAGACATGTTGTAAGCATTCTCCTTTGAAATAGGGAACAAGGCAGAGATACCCACCATTGTGAATTCTACCCACCATGCTTTGGAGGTGTTAGGCAGCACCAGAAAACAACAAAGAAATTAGAGGTATAAAAATGGTGAGGAGACAACAATGAACAAATTGAGAAAGAATATAGGAAAATGATTCCATTTACAATAGCCTCAAAAAAATCAAATACCTAGGAATAAACTTAACAAAGGATGTAAATGACTACAAAGAGAACTACAAACCACTGAAGAAAGAGATCGAAGACTATAGAAAGTGGAAAGATCTCCCATGCTCATGGATTGGCAGAATCAACATAGTAAAAATGACTATACTACCAAAAGCAATCTACATGTCAACACAATTCTCATCAAAATCCCCATGACATTCATCACAGAGATTGAAAAATCTACCCTAAAGTTCATTTGGAAACACAAAAGACTGTGAATAGTTGGGCACCAGTCTCTCACGCCTATAATCCTAGCTACTCTGGAGGCAGAGATCAGGAGGATCATGGTCTGAAGCCAGCCGGGCAAATAGTTTGTGAGACCCTATCTTGAAAAAACCCTTCACAAAAAAAGGGCTGGTGGAATAGCTCAAGGTGAAGGCCCTGAATTCAAGCCTCAGTACAGCAAAAAAAAAAAGACCATGACTAGCCAAGGCAATACTGAGCAAAAAGAACAACGCTGGAGATATCACAGTACCCTACTACAAACTATACTACAGACCTATAGCAATAAAAACAGCATGGTACTGGCATGAAAACAGATGAAGACCAGTGGAACACAATAGAGGACCCAGATATGAATCCACACAGTCAGGCCCACCTTATTTCTGACAAAGGCACCAAAAACATATGACGGAGAAAAGATAGCCTCTTCAACAAATATTGTGGGGAAAAGTGGTTATCTGCCTGCAGAAAACTGAAACTAGACCCATGCTTATCACCCTGTACTAGTACCAACTCAAAGTGGATTAACGATCTTAATATCACACCCAAAATCTTGCTGGTAGTACAGGAAAGCACAGGGAATACACTGGAAGCAATAGTATAGGTAAGGACTTCTCAATAGAACTCCAGCAGCTCAGCAACTAAGAGAAAGAATTGACAAATGGGACTACATGAAATTAAAAAGCTTCTGCACAATAAAAGAAATGGTCTCTAAATTGAAGAGACCACCCACAGAATGGGAGAAAATATTTGCTAGCTAAACATCAGACAAAGGACTGATAACCAGAAAATACAGGGACCTCAAAAAACTAAACTCCCCCAAAATCAATGAACCAATAAAGAAGTGGGCAACTGAACTAAACAGAACTTTTTCTAAGGAAGAAGTCCAAATGGCAAAAAAAAAAAAGAAAAAAACACATGAAAAAATGCTCATCATCCCTGACCATAAAGGAAATGCAAATCAAAACCACACTAACACCTTACTCCTATTAGAATAGTTATCATCAAGAACACCACCACCAACAAATGTTGTCAAGGATGCAGGGAAAAAGGAACCTTTGTACACTGCTGGTGGGAATATGAACTAGTTAAACCACTTTGGAAAACAATATGGAGGCTTCTTAAAAAACTAAACATAGCTGGGTGCCGGTGGCTCAAGCCTTTAATCCAGCTATTCAGGAGGCAGAGATCCGGGGATTGCGATTTGAAGCCAGCCCAGGCAAATAGTTTGAGAACCTATCTCAAAAATACCTAGCATAAAAAGGGCTAGTGGAGTGGCTCAGGGTGTAAGCATTGAGTTCAAGCCCCGGTACCACACACACACAAAACAACAACAACAACAATGAAAAACAAGTAAACATAGATCTGCCAT